GCTTGCTAGAGTTTCTTAATTCCCCCTCTTCAAAAGATGAAATTCTTCTTCTTCGTTTTCTTCTTCGTCCTTCTCTTCTTGCAACAATGGCTGCATTGTCTCTCTGCTGTTAATTATGTCACTCATCTTCCGGGCTTTCAAGGCGAACTTCCCTTCCATTTAGAGACTGGGTGAGTCTGTGTATATATATGCATGTGATTACTTCAAACGAAAGAAATGATGCAGAAAATAGGGAGCATACATAGATTCCTTCTCTTTGGAAACTAATTTGTTTTTTGCTACTGAGTGTGAAAAACCTATGGTTTCCTTTTCCTGTTTGCACTGGCAATTATATATATGAATTCATGCTGTGTTTTACTCCTAATGTTTTGAGTTCACGTTCAATCTACTTCTGTTTTCTCGCACTTGAGAACAGCTAAGCCTTTTTTTTTTTTTGCTCCAAAGATAGAAGCGATCATCTCCAACTGCTTCACTGAGGAAACCAACGAAACAGCGATGGAAATACGTCTTGCCGGCTCCGTCATCGCCGCCGCAAGTGACGGCGCGGGGAAAAGGCGCGGCGAACACCTGCTTTGGCGCTAACTTCTGCACATGGATTATTTATTAGGAAGGGAGAAGTGGTGAATAAATTGATAGATAAAGATCGAATAGAGTTTAACTGGACACGAAATACGTAAATTATAAAATGGGTTTGTTTTGACTGCTAACTGTTAGTACGTAAAAATCCTTTTTTTTTTTTTTTTCCGTTATTCAATTCATAGAGCTTTGGTCAAAAACAGGCTTCTTTATTTAGGGTTTGATCTTTTTATTGCATTCGGTAAAATTTTAAACTATAAAATTGTAATCATTATTCTTAATTTTTATTATGATTAAATTAAAGTTTTAGTTTCTTTTTTCTTTTTGTTATCATTATCATATATATAGTAACCTTCCAACTGCATAGATGGCCGGGAAAGGTCCACTTAAAAGCAAACTTTGTGCCCAACTAGGGGTGTAAACGAGCTGAAGATGAATGAATAAAGTTCGTGTTTGGGTTCGGTTCATTTGAAATTAAGTGTGTTTGAAAGAAGCTCGTGTTCGAAATTTTTCGTGAAGTTATTGTTTGTGTTCGATTTGATTGGTATTAAATTAATTTGAAAGGTTTGAGATGTTTGAAATGTTCTATTTATTTCAATTATTCAAATTGTTCGAAATCTTTCAAATTTATTTGTATTCTTTGAATTGTTAAAATGATATTAAATTTAATTATTAATTCTCAAATTACCAAAAAATTTCTCTCTATTAAAAAAAATATTATTTCTTCAACTATATTATTAGAAATTGTTAAAAACAAGTTACAAATGAAAAATACATTTAAAGTTCAAACTCAAATTTTTAAAAAACTATAAATCATTATTATAAAACAAATAAGTAATAAATCATTATTATGTTAATTATATAACTTATATTATATAAATATATAATATTTATCCAATTGATATTAATATATTATTATTAATAATTTATTATATACTATTATTTTTAGGATTTAATTTATTAAAATATGATAAATTTTTAGAATGAACTTTAAGGGCGTAGTGAGAAAATGTTAAACTTGACTTTATAAGTCATATGGATGATTTAGTTAAAAAGTTGAGAATAGGTTGCGTCACGTGCTGCAAAAGTACAGATATTACTTCCGGCAACAATTATATATTCAAGTTTTTGACGCGGGACGAGTAAAGGTATGCATATATATATATATATATATAAATGAAGGGAAATATCCCTGGACAAGTTGCTTGCTAGAGTTTCTTAATTCCCCCTCTTCAAAAGATGAAATTCTTCTTCTTCGTTTTCTTCTTCGTCCTTCTCTTCTTGCAACAATGGCTGCATTGTCTCTCTGCTGTTAATTATGTCACTCATCTTCCGGGCTTTCAAGGCGAACTTCCCTTCCATTTAGAGACTGGGTGAGTCTGTGTATATATATGCATGTGATTACTTCAAACGAAAGAAATGATGCAGAAAATAGGGAGCATACATAGATTCCTTCTCTTTGGAAACTAATTTGTTTTTTGCTACTGAGTGTGAAAAACCTATGGTTTCCTTTTCCTGTTTGCACTGGCAATTATATATATGAATTCATGCTGTGTTTTACTCCTAATGTTTTGAGTTCACGTTCAATCTACTTCTGTTTTCTCGCACTTGAGAACAGCTAAGCCTTTTTTTTTTTGCTCCAAAGATAGAAGCGATCATCTCCAACTGCTTCACTGAGGAAATCAACGAAACAGCGATGGAAAAACGTCTTGCCGGCTCCTTCATCGCCGCTGCATGTGACGGCGCGGCGAACACCTGCTTTGGCGCTAACTTCTGCACATGGATTATTTATTAGGAAGGGAGAAGTGGTGAATAAATTGATAGATAAAGATCGAATAGAGTTTAACTGGACACGAAATACGTAAATTATAAAATGGGTTTGTTTTGACTGCTAACTGTTAGTACGTAAAAATCCTTTTTTT